TGGATCCTTGAGGTTCTGATGTTCTGACTGATTGAAGGATCGGTCGGTTTTCTGTTAACTCCTTCATGACCTTGAATCCGAAGCGCTGTAGCGCCTGGAACTGTTCCCATGGTAACCAGCAGGTGCTCTGTGAGCCTCTAACCCACAGCTGTCAAACTGGTTCCAGAAAGGGCCGCACACCAGACTCCATTCATTTCATCAAGTCATCATGTTCAGATTGGACTCCCTTGATGAGGTGACTGGAGTCTGGTGCTGTTGCTTGGTTGGAAAGAAAACCTGCAGCCTCACGGCCCTTTCTGGAACCAGTTTGACTCCCAGCGCCGGAGTCAGTAAACCCGATCAGTCTTGAAGCTGACGAAACTGAAAGCTGATTCTCTGAAACTGGTGTTTCTGGTTTGTTCCCAGTTTCTCCAGAGGTGCTGGGCTTTCTGACAGCCATCGGACTCTTCATCATCCTCATGACCTTCCTCTTCTGGTATCTCAACAACACGCTGGTTCTGGAGAACCCAGGGAGCCTTCAGGGCCTCGATGACTTCAGGAAAAACTCAGAGCTGCCAGGTCAGTCTGAATAACTCCTTATCTTCACAACATTATCTCTTCCTGCTGATCTCAGACCATTCTGACTTTAGTGTGACAGAAAATCCTGCCTCAAACTTTTTGTTTAGTAGTAAACTCTGAGATCTGAAGTGATGCTGGAAGAACCATACAGATGTTCTACTGTATGAAGTTTAACCATCAGATGTAATGTCTTCGTTCCAGCAGCAGCTCCTCATGCCCAACACGGCGTCTAGTGATGCTATGATGACAGAAGCATGCAGCGTTTTAACCAAAAGAGGACAGAATGAGACAGTAAAGAGCAATAAAGCATAAACTAAAACAAATCTCAGATAGAAAAGGAATTAAATATACGTACAATAGCAATAATAGACTCAATTTACAAAGTTCAAAGCATAAAAGTGGATTTAATTTGGGGGCGGAGCTAAGCCTGCTCTGAGGTCAGAGCAAAGTGAACTCCCTCTGTTACACAGCATGAAGCCGACCACCAGGTTTAACCAAAAGCTCTGCTGCCCCCTGCTGGATTAAAAGAAAAACTACATGATGAGATTTTTCTCAGTTTGTTTATTTATTTATTGTTATAACTGAATGCATGTGATGTCAGATAAGATATAACCTAACATAAAACTCAAAACCAAAAATCAGAGTTTTTGGTTTTTAAATTTTTCATGACTTCTAGTTGTTTTCTAGAAATTTGCCTGGAAAAACTGATTTCTGCTTTGTGGTTCGAATTGAACTGTAATCTGATTCTATTGATTATTTATTCTTCAGATGCAAAGTATTTATATTATAAAGTATTAGATTTGTTGTTGTTTTTTTCTTTTTGTTATTCTGGTATTTTTATACACATCTGTGGGACCACTTTTAGTGTAATCCTTTTCTGTTGCTGTGACGTCACAGTTTCCCCATATTAGGACAATAAAGGCATTTTTCTATTATTTTAAGCAAATAAAATGTTCTTTAGAGAAGTTCCAGTTTCCATAAATACATTCCTGTTATTTAGCGAGTAATGTTGCATAACGTAACTGATTGTTTAGGTTTGACTGGATAACTGGGTCATGTTCAGATTGTCACATACTGTTTATGAACACGCCACCTGCTGGTTGTTTGTTAGAACAAACAATTATGGAATAAATTCACCAACTTCCTTTCAAATATGAGTTTATTAATAAAAATCATTCAGCTTCAAGTCAAACAGATCCGACTAAAACTAGAGAAATTAAATTACACTATTATGAACACAGAGGAAGGAAAAGCCGTAACCAATGAGATGATGCAATGATCCAGTTTAGCTGGATTTTATGTTTGAAAACCATAGTTGATGTTGAAGAATTTGGGATGAGAGGCTTATCTGCTGCAGAACATCATCCTGCTGCAGAACATCATCCTGCTGCAGAACATCGTCCTGCAGAAGAAATTCATACTACAGAAGAACATATTCCTGATGCAGAACATTGTCCGGCAAAAGAACATTGTCCTGCAGAAGAACATTGTCCTGCAGCAAAAACATTGTCCTGCAGAAGAACATTGTCCTGCAGAAGAACATCGTCCTGTTGCAGAACATTGTCCTGCAGAAGAACATCGTCTTGTTGCAGAACATTGTCCTGCTGCAGAACATTGTCCTGCAGAAGAACATTGTCCTGCAGCAAAAACATTGTCCTGCAGAAGAACATTGTCCTGCTGCAGAACATTGTCCGGCAGAAGAACATCGTCCTGCTGCAGAACATTGTCCTGCAGAAGAACATCGTCCTGCTGCAGAACATTGTCCTGTAGAAGAACATTGTCCTGCAGCAAAAACATTGTCCTGCAGAAGAACATTGTCCTGCTGCAGAACATCGTCCTGTTGCAGAACATTGTCCTGCAGAAGAACATTGTCCTGCAGAAGAACATCATCCTGCAGAAGAACATCGTCCTGTTGCAGAACATTGTCCTGCAGAAGAACATCGTCCTGCTGCAGAACATTGTCCTGCAGAAGAACATCGTCCTGCTGCAGAACATTGTCCTCCAGCAAAAACATTGTCCTGCAGAAGAACATTGTCCTGCTGCAAAACATTGTCCTGCAGAAGAACATCGTCCTGCTGCAGAACATCGTCCTGCTGCAGAACATTGTCCTCCAGCAAAAACATTGTCCTGCAGAAGAACATCGTCCTGCTGCAGAACATTGTCCTGCAGAAGAACATCGTCCTGCTGCAGAACATTGTCCTCCAGCAAAAACATTGTCCTGCAGAAGAACATTGTCCTGCTGCAGAACATCGTCCTGCTGCAGAACATTGTCCTGCAGAAGAACATTGTCCTGCTGCAGAACATTGTCCTGCAGAAGAACATTGTCCTGCTGCAGAACATTGTCCTGCAGAAGAACATCGTCCTGCTGCAGAACATCGTCCTGCTGCAGAACATTGTCCTCCAGCAAAAACATTGTCCTGCAGAAGAACATCGTCCTGCTGCAGAACATTGTCCTGCAGAAGAACATCGTCCTGCTGCAGAACATCGTCCTGTTGCAGAACATTGTCCTGCAGAAGAACATCGTCCTGCTGCAGAACATTGTCCTGCAGAAGAACATCGTCCTGTTGCAGAACATCATCCTCCAGAAGAACATCGTCCTGTAGAAGAACATCGTCCTACAGCAGAACATCGTCCTCCAGAAGAACATCGTCCGCAGTGGTGTCAAAAGTACACACATTGGTTACTTCAGTAGAAGTATAGATACTGCAGTTTAAAAACACTCTGGTAAAAGTTGAAGTATCAAGTTGACCTCTTTACTCAAGTAATAGTGAAAAAGTATGTGCTCCAAAAACTACTTAAAGTATAAATGTATAAAGTAACCTTTAAGAAAAAGGCCAGATGCTTCTATATGAATTGAAAGCACAATTTTTCCACTATTTAAAAAAACATCCTCTGAGATAGGGCCGAGGATGAGGGAGGTCTGGTTGGTCTCCGTCTCCCGATACGCTCTCGCCTGTGTCCGACCTTTCAGACATTTCAACATCTTTTTCTGAATCCCACATTGTAGCATGGCATAGACAATTCACGCTAGCAGTTTGAAGAACACCTGCTAGCTTCTGATGATTTCCTTTAGCTACCCAATGAGTGTTTGCGTTCTATGACTCATCCATGGCATGAAATATATATTTATAAACATTAAACCAGGGGTAACTAATAAAAAATCAGTGGGGTCCGAATAAAGAAAATCAACCAGTAAATGTCCGGAGACATTTTGTATACATACATTATTGTATGAGTTACGTTCTGTTCCGTTTATGTCTCTTTCCTTGTAAGTATGAAATGTCCCATGCTCCTGAATGCACCATAGCTATCTGATGCTCGCGAATGCATCACTGGTCTGTGTAGATGTGCGTTTGATTTTCAGCTGAAGACAAAGCTTTGCAGTTTTAAAACCCACGTCGGATAATCACTGTTTATTGTTGTGTGTGAATAACAAGAGACTACAACAAATACATCAGCTTTACCTGGGACAAAATCTTTGGATTTAATGTTGTTCATAACATCGCAGTCCGCTAATCCGTGACCTGTGCTTTAAACCGAAGCCAAGAGTAACGAGTAACGTTTGTTTGAAAAATGTAAGAAATAAAAAGTAAAGATACTTGTGTGAAAATGTAATGAGTAGAAGTCAAAAGTAGGAGGAAAAATAAGTAATGGAGTAAAGTATAGATACCTAAAAAGTGTACTTAAGTACAGCAACGAAGTATTTGTACTTCGTTACTTGACACCTGTGATCGTCCGGCAGAAGAACATTGTCCTGCATCTCTATGCTATTAGCTAATGCTGTGAGAATGTGTCTGAACTGTGTCAGCAGATAAATCTTCATTTGAAGGTGAATTAAATATTAGGGTATTAAATAATTAGTGCAGCTTATCTTCTATATTCAGCCTGGAAGAGGGAATCTGCTCCTTCCTGTAAAACACTGCAGCATCTGTTATTTATTTATCTACAGTATCTGGCTTTCATCATACCATCCAATGTCCTGCTTACTGTCCAGCTGGGATATTTCACATATCAGAGGTTTCTACACACATCAATGACAAGTTAGGGCCAAATAAAGCTGCTGATTCCAACTGTGTTCCTGCCTTCTTCCTCAGACAAAGCGTCCTCTGATGCTGACCTGCTGGACTCGTCCTCAGACAGTGAGGACGAGCTGATGGGTCAGTATCAGGAAGCGGTCAGCCGCTCGCAGGGTCTGCGCGTTGGAGCCACGGCCGCCTGCAACGGCAAACACCTTGGAGGGTTCAGATGGGAAGGCCGCCAAAAGTACAGCCCTCTGACTGCAGGTTATGATGGATACAGCAGCGAGGCGTCTGCAGATGATGGTAGGTCCTCCACACGACACGCTTCGGCACAAATGTAACCCCAGCAGCAAAGCAAGACCACTCGGAGGAGAAGAAGGGCAGGCAGTAAACTGTTTCCCTCTTCCAGGCCTGAAACTGGTGGTGGAGTGGAGATAGATGAAGTTGGTCAGTCTGTAGACTGCTGGTTAGAGAGACGGTCTGCTGAGCTTTATGGGGAGATCCAGTGGACTGCGTGAGCTGATGCTAGAGCTTCACTCAGGGACCTGGAAGGTGGAAGTCCAGTTGGATAACACAGGTTAAGAGAACCTGTCCATGATGAGCAAGCATGTAGCGAAAGTGGAGAGGAAAAAACTCCCCGTTGGGAAGAAACCTCTGGCAGAACCAGGCTCAACATGGCGACTTCTGCCGGACCGGTTAAGATGAGACAGGGAACGCAGTAAGAGTCCAGGAGGAATGACGCTCTGATGAAGCTTTAGCTACAATAGTGGAGGAGGGGATGGAGGGGGGTTGAGACGGGGTCATCTATATGAAGTCACAGCGCATCCGCCGCCTGCGCACAGGAGCAGACAGGTGCTTTGGATGCTGATTGGCTTTCGTGGAGGTGTGGTTCAAAGCTGATTGGCTGTATTCAGCTTTGTTTTCCTGGAGGAGGCAGACTTTGAACTGCTAATGTGATACAAGGAGTTTGTGTCGTTTAGGGAGAACTTCTAGTTCAACCTGATTTAAGAGGCAGAGTGGGCCGGGCTGCCAGTGACCCTACCCTCAAACAGAGGCAGAGTGGGCTGGGCTGCCAGTGACCCTACCCTCAAACAGAGGCAGAGTGGGCTGGGCTGCCAGTGACCCTACCCTCAAACAGAGGCAGAGTGGGCTGGGCTGCCAGTGACCCGAACCTCAAACAGAGGCAGAGTGGGCTGGGCTGCCAGTGACCCGAACCTCAAACAGAGGCAGAGTGGGCTGGGCTGCCAGTGACCCGAACCTCAAACAGAGGCAGAGTGGGCAGTGCTGCCAGTGACCCGAACCTCAAACAGAGGCAGAGTGGGCTGGGCTGCCAGTGACCCGACCCTCAAACAGAGGCAGAGTGGGCTGGGCTGCCAGTGACCCGACCCTCAAACAGAGGCAGAGTGGGCTGGGCTGCCAGTGACCCGACCCTCAAACAGAGGCAGAGTGGGCTGGGCTGCCAGTGACCCGAACCTCAAACAGAGGCAGAGTGGGCTGGGCTGCCAGTGACCCGACCCTCAAACAGAGGCAAAGTGGGCTGGGCTGCCAGTGACCCGAACCTCAAACAGAGGCAGAGTGGGCTGGGCTGCCAGTGACCCGACCCTCAAACAGAGGCAGAGTGGGCTGGGCTGCCAGTGACCCGACCCTCAAACAGAGGCAGAGTGGGCTGGGCTGCCAGTGACCCGACCCTCAAACAGAGGCAGAGTGGGCTGGGCTGCCAGTGACCCGAACCTCAAACAGAGGCAGAGTGGGCTGGGCTGCCAGTGACCCGACCCTCAAACAGAGGCAGAGTGGGCTGGGCTGCCAGTGACCCGACCCTCAAACAGAGGCAAAGTGGGCTGGGCTGCCAGTGACCCGAACCTCAAACAGAGGCAGAGTGGGCCGGGCTGCCAGTGACCCGAACCTCAAACAGAGGCAGAGTGGGCCGTGCTGCCAGTGACCCGAACCTCAAACAGAGGCAGAGTGGGCTGGGCTGCCAGTGACCCGAACCTCAAACAGAGGCAGAGTGGGCCGTGCTGCCAGTGACCCGAACCTCAAACAGAGGCAGAGTGGGCAGTGCTGCCAGTGACCCGAACCTCAAACAGAGGCAGAGTGGGCTGGGCTGCCAGTGACCCGAACCTCAAACAGAGGCAGAGTGGGCTGGGCTGCCAGTGACCCGAACCTCAAACAGAGGCAGAGTGGGCTGGGCTGCCAGTGACCCGACCCTCAAACAGAGGCAGAGTGGGCTGGGCTGCCAGTGACCCGACCCTCAAACAGAGGCAGAGTGGGCAGTGCTGCCAGTGACCCGAACCTCGAACAGAGGCAGAGTGGGCAGTGCTGCCAGTGACCCGACCCTCAAACAGAGGCAGAGTGGGCAGTGCTGCCAGTGACCCGACCCTCAAACAGAGGCAGAGTGGGCTGGGCTGCCAGTGACCCGACCCTCAAACAGAGGCAGAGTGGGCAGTGCTGCCAGTGACCCGAACCTCAAACAGAGGCAGAGTGGGCTGGGCTGCCAGAGACCCTACCCTCAAACAGAGGCAGAGTGGGCAGTGCTGCCAGTGACCCGACCCTCAAACAGAGGCAGAGTGGGCTGGGCTGCCAGTGACCCGAACCTCAAACAGAGGCAGAGTGGGCCGTGCTGCCAGTGACCCGAACCTCAAACAGAGGCAGAGTGGGCAGTGCTGCCAGTGACCCGACCCTCAAACAGAGGCAGAGTGGGCTGGGCTGCCAGTGACCCGACCCTCAAACAGAGGCAGAGTGGGCAGTGCTGCCAGTGACCCGACCCTCAAACAGAGGCAGAGTGGGCCGTGCTGCCAGTGACCCGAACCTCAAACAGAGGCAGAGTGGGCTGGGCTGCCAGTGACCCGACCCTCAAACAGAGGCAGAGTGGGCCGTGCTGCCAGTGACCCGAACTTCAAACAGAGGCAGAGTGGGCCGGGCTGCCAGTGACCCGACCCTCAAACAGAGGCAGAGTGGGCCGTGCTGCCAGTGACCCGAACCTCAAACAGAGGCAGAGTGGGCAGTGCTGCCAGTGACCCGACCCTCAAACAGAGGCAGAGTGGGCTGGGCTGCCAGTGACCCGAACCTCAAACAGAGGCAGAGTGGGCTGGGCTGCCAGTGACCCGAACTTCAAACAGAGGCAGAGTGGGCCGGGCTGCCAGTGACCCGACCCTCAAACAGAGGCAGAGTGGGCCGTGCTGCCAGTGACCCGAACCTCAAACAGAGGCAGAGTGGGCTGGGCTGCCAGTGACCCGACCCTCAAACAGAGGCAGAGTGGGCAGTGCTGCCAGTGACCCGAACCTCAAACAGAGGCAGAGTGGGCTGGGCTGCCAGTGACCCGAACCTCAAACAGAGGCAGAGTGGGCCGTGCTGCCAGTGACCCGAACTTCAAACAGAGGCAGAGTGGGCCGGGCTGCCAGTGACCCGACCCTCAAACAGAGGCAGAGTGGGCTGGGCTGCCAGTGACCCGAACTTCAAACAGAGGCAGAGTGGGCCGGGCTGCCAGTGACCCGAACCTCAAACAGAGGCAGAGTGGGCAGTGCTGCCAGTGACCCGACCCTCAAACAGAGGCAGAGTGGGCCATGCTGCCAGTGACCCGAACCTCAAACAGAGGCAGAGTGGGCAGTGTTGCCAGTGACCCGAACCTCAAACAGAGGCAGAGTGGGCAGTGCTGCCAGTGACCCGAACCTCAAACAGAGGCAGAGTGGGCAGTGCTGCCAGTGACCCGACCCTCAAACAGAGGCAGAGTGGGCCATGCTGCCAGTGACCCGAACCTCAAACAGAGGCAGAGTGGGCAGTGTTGCCAGTGACCCGAACCTCAAACAGAGGCAGAGTGGGCAGTGCTGCCAGTGACCCTATCCTCAAACAGAGGCAGAGTGGGCAGTGCTGCCAGTGACCCGACCCTCCAACAGAGGCAGAGTGGGCCGTGCTGCCAGTGACCCTACCCTCGCATGGAGGCAGAGTGGGCCGGGCTGCTAGTGACCCGAACCTCAAACAGAGGTTGAGTGGGCCGTGCTGCCAGTGACCCGAACCTCAAACAGAGGCAGAGTGGGCCGTGCTGCCAGTGACCCGAACCTCAAACAGAGGCAGAGTGGGCCATGCTGCCAGTGACACTACCCTCAAACAGAGGCAGAGTGGGCAGTGTTGCCAGTGACCCGACCCTCAAACAGAGGCAGAGTGGGCAGTGTTGCCAGTGACCCGACCCTCAAACAGAGGCAGAGTGGGCCATGCTGCCAGTGACACTACCCTCAAACAGAGGCAGAGTGGGCAGTGCTGCCAGTGACCCGACCCTCCAACAGAGGCAGAGTGGGCCGGGCTGCCAGTGACCCTACCCTCGCATGGAGGCAGAGTGGGCCGTGCTGCCAGTGACCCGAACCTCAAACAGAGGCAGAGTGGGCCGGGCTGCCAGTGACCCGAACCTCAAACAGAGGTTGAGCCGGCTTGTAAACCCAATGAACCAGAGACCTCCAAAACATCCAGAATTAGGTAGACGTTATTTACCATGGACCTGCCGGGGACGCAGTAGGTCTGATCTCGGTGGATGACCTGCTCCATAGCTTTTCCCAACCTCACGGCCAGAGCCTTGGAGAGGATCTTGTAATCGGTACAGAGGAGGGACACGGTGCCAGTTCTTGATGTCTTGCAGGTTACCCTTTTTGGGCAGCAAGGTGATGACTGCCCTACGGCAAGACAAGGGGAGCGAACCAGCGAGCAGACTTTCCTTGCAGATGTCTAGCAGGTCTTTTCCCAGAAGGTCCCAATAGGTCTTGTAGAACTCGACGGTGAGTCCGTCAACGCCCAAGGACTTCTAGCCCTGCATGCTGAGGAGGGCTGTGTGGAGTTCCTGGCACTCCAGCTCAGTGTTGGTCTCCTCAGAGACCTTGGGTAGTTCACTGCAGAACTCCCGGAACAGATCCTCGTTCTCTTTGTATATACTCTGGAACAGAGAACGGTAAAAACCCACAGCCCTCTCCCTGATCTGACCCCATTCGCTTAGTTGTTTCCCCGTGTCCGACAGCAAAGAGTGGATCGGCTTTCTCTGACCGTGCTTCCTCTCCAGGCAAAAAAAAAAAAAAAAGCTAGAGGGAGCATCCATCTCTGTGATGTTCTGGATCCGAGATCTGACCAATACGACTTGGACTTTAGACTCCAGCAGGTTGGCTAGAGCTAGCTGTTTAGTTTTGAGAGCTTCAATGTGCTCTCGATTTCCTGTGGATCCACTGAGTTGTTTGTCCTGTTTGCTGGCCTGTTTGCTGGCCTGCTTGTTGGCCCCTCCTGCTCTCCCTGCACACGGTCTCTCTCCCCACCTGCGCTCTCACCCTCACCATCATTCACCCCATCACCACACAGCACCGTGCTCCCATCCTTCCTCACACACACAATCATTTTCAAAGTTTAAAATTTTTTCATTACTGACGCCTCAACAATACCTGCCGCAGGCTCCTCCACCATGGGCTCCTCCGCAGCCGCCGCAGGTCCCTCCAACACCACTGCGGCATCCCCCGCAGCAGCAGCGGTTTCCTCCACGGCGACAGCCCCACTAGGAGGGGGCCCCATCTGCTCAGCAGCAGCGGGCCGCCACCCGGCCCCATCGGGGCACACTTTAATGACATGTCCCTCCTGTCCACATCCAAAGCACTTCATGTTAGAGGAGGTTGCAGAAACATGTAGTCGAATCCCTCCAGTCTAACATGAAAGCTCAGGTTCAGTTCCTCATCTCGTTTGTTCAATATCATGAACAGTTGTCTCCTATGGGAGACAACATGCTTTAGCAGAGGTGATTTACACCCTGACATCATCTTCCTAATAGGTGAAACCACCTTACCGTGCAGAGACAGTTCTTTGATCAGGAACTCGTCACTGGTTGCAGGCAGCGTCTTCGGGGAAACCTGTAGAAACAACCTATTGACAGCGATGCCTGTTTCCACCAGCCGCTGAGCCTGCTCCACTCTCTCCACAAACAAAACGACAGCTCCACTCATGCAAGCTGCCGACTTGATGGACCCATCTCCAATGACCTCCCCCACAGCCAAACACACCTCCTCCACGCTGCACGGAGAATCAGCACCCACCTTGATGCCGTTCTCCGTGTCAGCGTGGAGAAACCTCCATCACTCACCACCATGGTGCTAGCAGCTGCTAGCCACCTGGGCAGGCCTGACGGCCACGCCCCAAACAAACTCTGTGAAACACTAAGTAATCCCAAAAAAACAAATAAACCAATAATAGATCAATTCTCTCCCCTAAGCAGCCAACTGCATCCAGAGGATGAGGAGGACACCGCCCTTGGATGAGCTCCAGCCGCCTCCCTATCAGGATGAGAACGGTTCTCCCAGGATGTCCTGCACTCTGTCCGATCTGAGCGACGCCAAATGCGATGTGTCCGTGACCAGCGGCAGTCCACACTTGTCCTTTGGAAAGTGTCTCAGTGACGGCAGTGATGACCAAGAGAGCGAAGGTTACTTCAATAAAGGCTATGAAGAAGACGTCCCCAGCGACAGCACGGCTGTCCTAAGCCCAGAGGTAAACACCCGTCATGACAGGGATGATTGACGTTTATGTGGGACTTTGACCTTCTCTGCTTCCTGCAGGACTTATCTGCTCGTGGGTCGAATGTTCACTTCCCAAAGGGCTACGAACCCGACGGCATGGCTAAGTACGGCACCTTGGACATTGTGTTTGACTACGACTCAGAGGAGCAGCAGCTCACCGTCACCATCATGGCCGTGACCGACCTGCCCTCCATCAAACGCACCGGGAACATTTCCTGGCAGGTCCACCTGGTTCTGCTGCCCACCAAGAAACAGAGGGCAAAGACGGGGATCCAGCGGGGCCCCTGCCCCATCTTCACAGAGGCCTTTCGTTTCAGCCACGTGGAGTCGGAGATGATCGGAAACTACGCCATCCAATTCCGTCTGTACAGCATCCGGCGGATGAAGAAGGAGAAGGTGTTTGGAGAGAAGGTGTTCTACCTGACCAAGCTCAACCTGCAGGGCAAAGTTTCTGTGCCAGTCATCCTGGAGCCATGCTGTGCACTGCCGGTAAGCTGCATCAAAGCTTCACCTCATTAATGGTTCTTTTCTTCACTCATCTTTCCTCCTGTTGGATAACATTGAGGGACTAAGGCTAATCCTCACGCAGCTTTACTCCCGCCGGGTTAGGCGCAGCGGGATGAGAAGGCAGGTGTCTGGATGACGGTGAGGCTTGGAAGGTCAAAACGTTTCCCTTTGTCTGGAAACTTTAAAAACAAACAACTATGATGTGAAACTTTTAAAGTAAGATCCTCACTAGTATAGCTAACTGAATATATGTCAAACAGCTGCCCTGACCACTCATCAAAGGCGGGAATCGCCATAGCAACCTCTGAGTGGGAGGTATTATTTTTGCTGGCTGCTGAATTTCCATCAGTGATAAAAGAGAAATGTTTGATGTTTGCAGGGTGGTGAATCCCAGCTCAGCCTCTCTGATCTGACCTGCAGCGAAAGCGCCTCATCTTTCCCGTCTGTCAGTCAGACTTCTGCTCCAGAGATCCTTGTGGGCCTGGTGTACAACGCAACCACGGGCCGCCTCTCTGTGGAGATCATCAAAGGCATCCATTTTAAGAACCTCGCTGCAAACAAGCCACCCAGTAAGTTCCCTAAAAGGTTTGCTTGGGAACAGCAGGACGTGCTGGTCTGATGCTTCAGTGGAGATCTGGGATCATTTCCTCAGCTTCTTAAAGATGGCTGCCAGTTAGGGCTGGGCAGTAACCCCGTTCTATCCGTGTGTTCCTGTTCAGGAAGACTTGATCAAACTTGTCTGAGGTTCCCTTCAGCCTCTGAACCACAGAATCAAACCATCCAGTTACTTGGAAGGGCATCGACAGCCAGACCATTTGCTTCCGTCTATTGCTGCCTTTGTTTTTAATGCGAAGGTTGGTTTCTGTTGAGGACCTCTAGGGCTCGCTGAACTTCCGACTGATTTGTGTTTTGTTTTTTTACGACAGAAGGGCCTGTTTTAATTCCACTTTTAGCTTTAGCTGCACATTAAACTCCAGCCGAAATGAATATTCAGAGAATCAAGTTTATCAAAGTCATTTCTGTGGATGATCAGATATTGAAGCCCAGCCCTACTGCTGCTATCGCTCCTCATTTTCATCAATTTGCCTCATTTCCAACTTTAAGGAGCTTCAGCAGCAAAATCCAACAGAAATCCACTTGTTGTGAACTTTGTGAAATGTTTCTGATATTCTGACCCTTTCTTCTTCCCTTCCTTTGTTGGTAATGTTATGTCTGCTCCTGATATTCTTCCCTGCCGCCTTTTTCACATCTCGGTCCGCTGTTTCTCTTACTGCTGTCCAACCCTTGTTGTCAGATGGGCTGTTCTGTTGTCTGAAACACTTGATAGGTGGACAGGTTTATATTATCAGAGGTGAGTCTCCTCGCCGTCCCAAACTGAGCCACCGTTGGTGCTAAACCCCCAACCTTTCTATGTCTTCATGGATGCAGTTTTAAAGAATTTATCTTTTAATTAGCAGATCAGCTTAAAGCTTAAATCAACCAGCGGTTTGGTAGCTTCTAGTCTTTTCTGTCTTAAGGTAGAATCCGCTGTCACACCTGAGGCTTTGTTACCAAACAATGAAAGCTTTAGCCTGTATTCATCTTCTATATCTACTTTAGTTTTCTTTTTCTTCTACATCTACGTTAACCGATGTTCCAGTCAGTGACTGGATACACTAAGTGTTTTGGATCTATAAAGAGCCTGTAAGTGACGTGTTGTTAATTGATCGCATTGAACTAAACAGGATTGAATCAAAAAGTCCAACTTAGTAGAAATGTTTGATTACTGCTTTATTTCCTCTTATTTCATTTGGTTTGCAAACATCAAGCCTGTTTGTTTCACAAATCAATAAAAGTAATTGAATTAAACTGAAAAGCGAAATAAGGGTGAAAAGATGAGCGTCAGCAGAACAGCCTCAGTTCATTAAACATGAAAATGTTTGGCTGCCATCAACTCATCCATGAAGATCAGTAAATATTGTTGCTGAGTTTTTCCTTCCTCCCATGCATGAGATCCAGAACCTTTCCCTCTTTATCCTCCTGTTGTTTGTGCTTTTCTTTAACTGTTCCAGTCTGAAGTCAGATTTTTAGTTTGCAGGGTTCCTACACACTCTTTACATGTATGGAGATGAAGGTTTTCCTTCAAACTGGGACCAGTGCTGGTTCTCACCAGAACAATCACTATTTTCACTTTTCTATCCCAGAGATAAGAACTGCTGGTTGGAGGCTCTTCCAGTTCAAACTGGAGATGGACTGGTTTTATACTGGAAGAAGCTGGGAGGGAAATCTGTCATCACCACAGGCTGGTTTCTCCACCAAAGTAGGCCTCCACCTGAGGAGGCAGACCAGTTTAGACCCAGTATCCTACCAGTTCAGACCAGATTTGTGGATTTGGGAAGTGGAGCTTCAGTTTCCCTTCACAATGTGAACATCTGGTCTGAAAATGAAATTCCTTTCAAAGTGAGAAATGTGTAGAAACCCTGCAGGACGGGTTGAGCCGCAGCATGCTTGGGGTGGGGCCGTGTTCCTGGCATGTTTTGGTGAGGAGATGTTCTCATCAGAAAGCTCAACCAGGTGAAGGCACTGGTCATCATTTCATTCTGCTTGATTATGAGCGAGATGGAAACCCGACTTTAAGGGGAAGATCACATGTATGAGTAGTTCTGTTGTTTCTGGTGAGGAACGTGAAATCACTAAAATATGTGTGAACTGACGTCACATCCTTCAGCACACGGCCGTCCGTGTGACTCGCACTCTGCCCTCTCATCTCTAAACATCTGACTTGGATTTAAAGGGACCAGTAACCGGATTCTTTGTGCATTCCTGACAGGCTCCTCCATAGCCTTCAAACTGGGAAATAGTCACATCTGGTAACGCTGAAAAGACCTTTGTGCAAAATACTCACTCAGGTCTTGATTGACTTTGTGCATCTCACAAAGTGGAAGCGAGACGTGGAGCACTTTCAAAGCTCCAGCAGGCTGACGAGTCGAGTCAATCACCAGCCGCAGCCCGTCCCACTTAGCAGCAAAGAGCCGCATCAGCGCCGCTGACCACTTAATACATGCACAGCTCTGCACAGCCCATTCAGCAGCAGTCAAAGAGGAAATCAGGCCTTTTTTCTTTTCCTTTATGTCAAAGAGAGCAGTTGAATGTGTGATTGAAGGTTCTAAGCTGAGCACTGTTTAGCAGCTGGCACTCCACAGCATGTAAGCCTCAGCAGCTCCCTGTCAGACAGGAGGGGAGGAGGGGGGGCACTGTCACAGCTATTGTGATTCCCATTCACGTGCTCGACTCATCAACAAGTCGAGCATGTGTCGAGATTTCTGCATTTCCAATGCAGCTACTCTGAAAACATGACGGACGGTAATAAGTAATCAACTCTAACCCAAACGTTCTCCATCCCATGCTACATTCAGTTATATTTGACATAAAATTATTTCTGGCCCACAAATAACATTTTTAAATCAATTTTCAACACAATAAAAAACACTTAAATACTTTGATGGAATCATTTCAACCATATAGCCAAAAAATTAAACCTCAAATCTCAAAACGACATGAAAAATGCCTTCCAGCCACTGAGCGGAACCACAAGGAGGCGACCGGGCCAGAGGCTGCTGTTGAAAGGGATTCCTACGGACAGCGCCCGCTGGTATGTGGGGGTCTGAGCTCCGACAGAAATAATATTGGAAGGCAGGATGGTAATCTGGATGAACTGACTCCAGTGATTAAGATTTCAGGTGGATTTTCCCACTTAAAAACGTTAAAACTACTTTATTCTCACTGATCAAAGCAAATACAGCTGCAGGATAAAGAAAGGATAGGGTAGCTCCGCCCAATGCGCCTCAGACCCACTTTACCACCGTGCAGCCAGAGCAGCAAAGATGCTTCAGCCGCGCGTCAGAACTAAACTTGTACAAGCATCAGAAATGAAGCAGCAGACGCGTTTTTGCTGCTCCTGCTGCATTTGGTGTGAACGCAGCTTTAGCCTCGCTGCAGGCAGTTAGCCTTGCTGCATGTAGTTAGCCTCGCTGCATGCAGTTAGCCTCGCTGCAGGCAGTTAGCCTCACTGCATGCAGTTAGCCTCGATGCATGTATTTAGCCTCGCTGCATGCAGTTAGTCTCGCTGCATGCAGTTAGTCTCGCTGCATGCAGTTAGTCTCGCTGCATGCAGTTAGCCTCACTGCATGTAGTTAGCCTCACTGCATGCAGTTAGCCTCACTGCATGTAGTTAGCCTCACTGCATGCAGTTAGCCTCTCTGCAGGCAGTTAGCCTCACTGAATGTAATTAGCCTTGCTGCATGCAGTTAGCCTCACTGCATGTAGTTAGCCTCACTGCAGGCAGTTAGCCTCGCTGCATGCCATTAGCCTCGCTGAAGGCAGTTAGCCTCGCTGCATGCAGTTAGCCTTGCTGCAGGCAGTTAGCCTCGCTGCAGACATTTAGCTTCGCTGCAGGTAGTTAGCCTCGCTGCAGGCATTTAGCTTCGCTGCAGGTAGTTAGCCTCGCTGAAGGCAGTTAGCCTCGCTGCATGCAGTTAGCCTTGCTGCAGGCAGTTAGCCTCGCTGCAGACATTTAGCTTCGCTGCAGGTAGTTAGCCTCGCTGCAGGCATTTAGCTTCGCTGCAGGTAGTTAGCCTCTCTGCATGCAGTTAGCCTCGCTGCAGGTAGTTAGCCTAGCCTTGGAGCTAAACCGGGTCCTGGAGAAAGACCAATTGAACCGTCTCCATCTGTCTTTGGTTTGATGATTAATGTTGATGTTCAGCTGATCAGGTCCAAACAGTTTCACCTCCAGCTTCTACTGGTGACTCTGCTTACGTCCCATGACTTGACCTGTCAATCAGCCGCACTACGACTGTGATGTCACTTCCTGTCACCTCAGGGCATACCTTACCTGTGCCCAAAGCTCTCCTATCCTTCTGTATTGCTGAGGAGCTGCTGTGCATGGACAATTAGTAACCAGAGTTAATGTGCAAAGATTTTTGCGCCCTAGAGATGAAATACGTCACCAATCTGACAAAAAACAAAACAGCTTTTCTCATCCTTAAAGAATAAACATTTATCTTGCACATCTAAAAAATGTATATCAATATGTTTTTAAATATTTCAATTAAATAATAATTTTATGTCTTAATCAAGGTCATTGGGTTTGTGGGGCGGGGCCGTAGCGACCTCTGTTGGCCAGCCGCCACTGCTGAGGTCACCTGGATTAATCAGTTTGGATGTTGAGTATTTCTTGATGAGATACTGAGGTTATCCTGGCATAATCTAATCATACATAATAACAAATAATAATAATAACTCTACCAATGATAACTGATCAAAGTAATAAAGATATATCGGTCAGGTTGCACTTCTTTAGTTTTCTGTTTTTTTGCTCCCATGATGAATAAGAGGAGACGGTCAGACACAAGGGCTTAAATATGGGTTAAAAATAGCCAAAGATGCTCAACGATCTTTCAAACTGTTCCTGGCTGCTTGAATCCCAAACGGCAGGCAGTGAAAGGCGGTCTGTACCGCGGCAGAGATGGAGGATCTGGGAAAGCCACTGTATCAGAGGCGGTTCCTGAATCCCTTAAGCATCTTTTCTATGACTCCAAGCTGACATGTCACTGACTCTAAAAACTGATCTGTTTTATCATTTAACATAATTTGCTCATTCAGGTTAGACATGCAGCTGTTGCTTAGCAACAGGAATAAAGTAACGCTCCTTGCACCCTTTGAGTTCTTGCTCTGTTATTGTAAGCTCTCGTAGCTGTGCCTCATGTTTCATCCTATGTGGTTGTGATCTCAGCTGCAGTGCCATGATCTCAGGAGCAAATGGTTTAGCCAGAAAATAGGTTGCAGCGCTTTGTGTTGATTCTGATGGGGGAATATTCACTATGCCCTAATGCTCAGTTATCTGCTGTGAATGTCTGAGTTCCTCTGTAAACATCTTACATACCTGCTTCCTGCCAGATACCTATGTGAAGTTGACCCTACTCAACTCCATGGGCCATGAGATGTCCAAGTGCAAGACGTCCATCTGCAGAGGTCAGCCCAACCCCACCTACAAAGAGACCTTCATCTTCCAGGTGGCCCTGTTCCAGCTGTCCGACGTCACGCTCATCCTCTCCGTCTACAACAAGCGCAGCATGAAGCGGAAGGAGATGATTGGCTGGATCTCTCTGGGTCTCAACAGCTCCGGGGAGGAGGAGCTGACTCACTGGACCCAGATGAAGGAGTCCAAAGGACAGCAGGTCTGCCGCTGGCACAGCTTGCTGGAGTCCTAACTGTCACAAGGGGGGAGGTTATGAGGTAGAAGAATGCTTTGGCTGTTCAGCGTCATGCTTTTATCGCCTAGTTTCTAAAATTCCTGACAGCCAAACTTCGGATCAATCAGCAGAGTCCAGAAAGGAATCACAGAGCCTCCTAGTGATCCGCTGATAGGATCCTCACCAGAAAACCGGATCCTCCCTACAAACATATTCTTCCACACCTTTTTAAAGATATTTTTATTCTCTTGTGAATGAAAATAAGACTTAATCTTAATCCACAGCCTGAATCTGGGAGGACCTTCTGATCCAGGCCCTTCCTCCACGTCCTGCCTTGGACAGCAGGGTTTCCCAAAGTGGAGATCCAGAGGGTCAGATTGGACCCGATCGTCTATGACTGATCTAAAAACTACAGGATTATTGATTAAGGTTAAAATAAACATTGCAGCTGCTGATGTTGTTTGTTTAATTAGCTTCTAAACAGGCAACAACTGCTGCAGCTCTGCTCTGCTGACGACCGGGTGAGCATCAAGGTATCAATGCTGCAGTCCTTCAACAAAAACCCAACCTCTCCCATAGTCTCAGAAAGTACAAACAACAGTACGAATATCATTACGAACAACAGAACGAACATCATTACAAACATCAGTACGAACATCATTACAAACATCAGTACGAACATCAGTACGAACATCTGTACGAACATCTGTACGAACAACAGTACGAACAACAGTACCAACGACATTACGAACATCAGTACGAACAACAGTACGAACGACAGTACGAACATCAGTACGAACAACAGTACCAACAACAGTACCAACGACATTACGAACATCAGTACAAACAACATTACGAACATCAGTACGAACAACAGTACGAACGACAGTACGAACAACATTACGAACATCAGTACGAACAACAGTACAAACAACAGAACGAACATCATAACAAACATCAGTACGAACATCAGTACGAACATCAGTACGAACAACAGTACGAACAACAGAACGAACATCATAACAAACATCATTACGAACATCAGTACGAACATCAGTACGAACAACAGTACGAACATCAGTACGAACATCAGTACGAACAACAGTACGAACAACAGAACGAACATCATAACAAACATCAGTACGAACAACATTACGAACAACATTACGAACATTAGTACGAACATTAGTACGAACATCGGTACGAACAACAGTACGAACAACAGAACAAACAACAGTACGAACAACAGAACGAACATCAGTACGAACAACATTACGAACATTAGTACGAACATTAGTACGAACATCGGTACGAACATCAGTACGAACAACAGTACGAACAACAGAACAAACAACAGTACAAACATCAGTACAAACATCAGTACGAACAACAGTACGAACAACAGAACAAACAACAGTACAAACATCAGTACGAACAACAGTACGAACAACAGAACAAACATCAGTACGAACATCAGTACGAACATCAGTACGAACAACAGTACGAACAACTGAACAAACAACAGTACGAACAACAGAACGAACATCAGTACGAACAACATTACGAACATTAGTACGAACATTAGTACGAACATCGGTACGAACATCAGTACGAACAACAGTACGAACAACAGAACAAACAACAGTACAAACATCAGTACAAACATCAGTACGAACAACAGTACGAACAACAGAACAAACAACAGTACGAACATCGGTACGAACATCAGTACGAACAACAGTACGAACAACAGAACAAACAACAGTACAAACATCAGTACAAACATCAGTACGAACAACAGTACGAACAACAGAACAAACAACAGTACAAACATCAGTACGAACAACAGTACGAACAACAGAACAAACATCAGTACGAACATCAGTACGAACATCAGTACGAACAACAGTACGAACAACAGAACTTCCTGTCGAGCTGGAAACTGAACCCGTTGTTTGCATTTTCTGTTAAAACTCAGACAGTAAAAACAGATTAACTTATCTTGGATTAGACATAGGAATATAGTGACCTAAATTTAATCAGAATAATTTTTGACCTTGTGGATAAAAAACTATTTCCAATAAGTGTTAGGAAACAGACAGGTACTGTGTAATTAGCCGGTAGTAAGAGCTCTTGCTTCGATGTAAAAAGTGATGTATGTTCGATGTCTTCATATTAATCAGCTGGTTACATCAACGTACAAATACATTCTTTTAAACCTGCTACAACATAAACATTTCTATAATTATATGATATAACCAACTTATTACATGTTAATAACTTAGCTATTACCGCATGGTTCTATTAAATAACTGCTAAGCTCTGACAGGAAGTGCCCCCAAACCATTCTAAGTTTTGTGTATTTAGGATATAAATACAATATTTTTTGAAATAAGGAGACTAAATATTAACAGCAGTTTCAGGATAAACTGTTTAAAAAATCCTAATGGGTCAGAAGCTCTAGGAAAGTCTGCTGCTATAAAATCAGCTCTGAGCTGCTCACTGGAGCGTAGGCCTTAAATTCCATCATATGTGTGAAAACATCCCCGCTCTGAAAGAACATTAATCAGCCAGGATGCCACAATGACTCAGCATAATGTCACAATGACTCAGCCATGATGCAGCCATGACTCAGTGTGCTGCAGTCATAGCACAGCCATGATTCAGCATGGCACAGCCATGACTCAGCAACCTACAGCCATGACAGGGCCAATACTCAGCCTGCTGCGGCCATGACTTTACATGAGTCAGCATGATGCAGCCATGACTCAGTATAATGCAGCCATGACTCAGCCATGACTCAGAATGAGTCAGCAATGATGCAGCCATGACTCGGCATGATGAAGCCATGAGGCAGCATTGACTCAGTCTTGACTCTGCTATTACACAGCCATGACTCATTAGCGACTCACCCATGACTCAGTATGTTGCAGCCATGTCACAGCTATGCCTCGGCCATGACTCAGTGTGCTGGAGCCATGATTCGGCCAATACTCAGTATTCGGCCAATGACTCACCATGACTTAGCATAATGCAGCCATGACTTGCCCATGAGTCAGCATAATGCAAGCATGACTCAGCATGAGTAAGCCATGACTCGGTCAGGATGCATCCCTGAAACTAGGAAGCACAGCTGCTGCAGCAATGCTTATGATTGTCACCCAGGTTCCATCTGCAGTTCATAGAACTCCATCTATAGTTCCTGTTGTGAACACTGTTGGTGATCTTTGGGTGTGTGTGTGTGTGTGTGTACTGTAGCTGAGTGAGAACATATTTTTTGTATTTTATCAGTGAAGTGAGGACCTTTCTTTGATCAAGAACTTTGGTTTAGGACCAAGGTGTGATTGTTTGGGTTCTTCTTTCTATCAGTGAATGTTTCTGAACTATTTTTGTATCAACATGTGAACATTGTGAAAAACAGAGAAATGTTCTGGCTTGGTTCTGATCTTATTTACTGGGACCATCCCAGCTCAGGTCCGATTAGTATCCCTTCCTGTAGAACCAGGGAGGGATGTTTAGGAGACCAGAAGAGCTCACCTGTCCAGCTCTCCCTGCAGCTGGTACAGGTGTGATGATGGTGAAGCAGGGAGACTCTACTGGTGGGGACCCATTAGAACCCAGTTAAACCAGGAGCTGTCGGTCAGAGAGCAGCACCGATCTCAGAACAACTGGATCACAGAACCACAGGTCCATGTCAGGTATGTAGATTCTCAGCCAGTTCAAGGTTGAAGGTCAGGACAGGAAGGGACTGTTTGGGACGATTTAAAGAGCAACATGGCTGCAGTTCTTTGGTTCCCTGCAGTCCAGTGGCCTGGCCTCCTTTAGACTATTGGTACGTCCAGCTCACCCTGGTTCTGTTTTTGCTCCATCTATGAGTCTGTTGAGAGACTTTATAAGTCCAGAAGCTCATAGAGTGGATGAACTTTCTATCTGGTCAGAACCCTGAAGGAATGTTCTGATCAGATCATCGGTGGACCCAGATTACCAAGGGAACACCAGGCAGTTACCTCCAACGGTGGAGGCAGACACAGAGGAGGCCTCCTGGAGGATTGAGAAGGTGCTTCTACTGGATGGAGGTCCCGCTGGTTTTGTCCAAAGGTCCTGCATCCACATCTCCAGCTGATCCAACCATGGATCCAGCCATCAGAGACAGACTGAACCACCTCCCAACCACTGGACACAAGGTATCATGGGAGATCTTAATGCCTTGTCTGGAATCTTTACTGTTTGGGTCAGTGAGTTTATTTTTGTTTTAGAAGCAGCTCCCCTGCTGATCCGTTTAGGTCGGGTTTTAACTCCAGACGGCATCAGTGCCTTAATGTGTTCACCTTCTGTCACCGTGTCTTAACCTCCCTGGAAATGAACTTTTCTGCTCTGATCTCGTTTGTAAAAACCTTTTTTGAATTTCTATGTGAATATTTCTATGTGTTATTGATTAAAAAAATACCAACAGAAAAACTTGTCTGACATCCGTCTGGTTCCTTATGAGATCATAAGTGTCCATCTTTTGGTGTTCTTGCACTGCCGAAAATCAACCAGCAGGTAGCGTAACACTGTGGTTTGCTGCTCTGCGTGTTTAGTGAAGCAGAGTTCAGGTGTTTTCTCAGAGTGTTTGACGTCATTTTTCTTCTCCACCCACCTGCATTTGAATGCTGCAGCTGCACTAATGTCTGCGGGATGTCCAGGAAGCTGTGGTGCCGTCTCCTCAGAGTCATGTTGCCTCCAGTGCAGAGCTTGCTTAGCAGATAGATTGAGCTCTGTCAACTGGAAAACGTTTAACCAGTTTGAAGGTTGGATGCCAAAAAGTGTACAGCTCATGGAAGCTGCTCCTCTGAAGGTTAACGGAGCAGCCTGTGGTCCTCTAGCAGCATTTAAAGTAGCTCAAACCCATCTGCCTGTGACCTCAGCATCAGCATCAAAAGACGAAAAACATCTAGATCATAATTTCTAGTGTTTCTCCAAGCATTCCTCAAAACAAAGCGGATGGATTCAGGTTCAGTAGCCGCTGGTGAATCAGACAGGAAATGCAGAACAGATGCACCCTCCCCCTGGAAAAAAATCAGATGCTATGCTCCAAGTCCAAGAGAGGTTTAAGGAGGGCCTGCTGAGGCAGATCAGACGGGTCCTTTCATGGCTGCTGACCTGAGACCACGAACCAGTGCAGTTCACCAGAACTAAACTGGGAACCAGTCGCAGTGAATTGCATAGCAGAACATTGATGTCAACAACCAACTCCTCACTTTATGGAAAACAGAGGGATCAAAAACTGGAAAGTATGGCAGGCCGTCTGTAGATTTATTCAGCTGTTGGTCCCTCTGGTTCAACATGTGGATGGGGCCTTTTACAGCGAGACAGCCGCTTTAGACAGCAGAGGATTGGTGTCCATTTCCAACCAGCGGGATGTTTGGGGTAAAATCATCTCCGCTGTGCTTCTTTGCTGCTTCAATGGCTCCTTCCTGGTCCTCCTAAGTAGAGGAGGTGGCTCTAAATGTAATGTGTGGATGAACACACCTTCCTGCTCTCTACCACTGTAAATAATCCTAACCCTTCACTAAAATGATCACCACAAACAAACGTACGAGACAATGAGGTTACATAGGGGCATAAAACTATATCAACACACATGAATGAAGAACCAAAGAAAAAGAAAGCTGGAGTTAGTTTAGGCAGTAGGTAGTTTTAGTAGTAGGTAGCATTAGCAGTAGGTAGCATTAGCTATAGGTATATTTTGCTGTAGTTAGCTTTAGCAGTAGATAGCATTTACTGGAGTTAGTTTAGGCAGAAGGTAGCTTTAGCAGTAGGTATCATTAGCTGTGGGTACTTTTATCTGTAGGTAGCTTAAGCAGTAGGTAGCTTTAGCAGTAGGAAACTTCAGTTGTAGGTAGGTTTAGCAGTAGGTATCATTAG